CGGGGCGCGGGAGGCTGCGGCCGGCAGCGGGTGACAGCGAGAGCGCAGCAGTCGGTCCGCGATCTAGGGAAGCCAGTACTCCCGGAAAAGGGATAAAGAGTCCCTTGTAATAAGCCAAAATTGCTACATATGGGTTTTGGGTTGTTTTGGGTTTTTTTCTGCAAGCACTTGTTTATCCTGGCCCGGGGATTGCCGTGCACTTTGAGTAATGCTCGCGAGGTGTGTTTTTCCTAGGCAGCAGGAATTTATGCAAGTTGAAAATCGAAATGCCAGAAATGCCGCCCTAGGAAAGTTTGTCTTTTTGCTCTCTTCCATGACACAAGAAGAGAAAGGAAAGTTCAGTACCACAAAAGCTTGATCCAGGAGAGAGGTTTTTGCCAGAGAAAATGTAGTACCACAAGCACTATGAAAATGCAATTCTTCGGGTTAGACTTAGGATTAAGTGTTTTGTAAAGAGCATCTCTTAAATTAATTATTTATTCTGTTGCTTAAATAACATAATTATTAGGATACAGGGTTGTTTGGGGGGTTTTTTGTTTGTTTTTGTTTTTGTTTTTGTTTTTTCCAAGAGTGTATGAACTTCGGATTTCATAGAGTTCAGTCATGGACTAACGTTTTCCCTTTACACTTCCAACCCAACCAGTCAAAAGGCTGGAAGATGCCAAAGGCTGTCTAGTTCTGGCTAGGAAGAGAATGATGTGATCTCAACATACACTGTAAATTTTTGTTTTCCAGTGGGAGTGGGGCTGTTCTGAGCCTTCTTGTAGCTTCAAGCTGCAAACTACTATTGAGCAATAAACCATATTTTGAAGTTGTTTTACATAACATTGCTCAATAGGAAGTGTAATTTCAGGCTAAAAATAAACAATAAAAATCACATGTTGACTTCACTAAGATCTATACTACCTAATGTGCTCAACCTGTTTTTTTTTAATATAATCATAGAACATTTGAAGATAATAGGGAGAGGCTTCCTGCAGCTTTTTCTTATATATTTGCTATTTTTTTCCCTCTGAAACTCATTTTTTTCCCTTTATCACAGAGAGAGGGGGTTGCCCCAAACCTTGTATGGGTAAGGATATAGGTAAAGTAAATGGAAGTTTACCATAGCTAAGAAACTATACACATACAAGGAATTCACTAATAATACAGCACGATTTAGGGAGGAAGTCCTATTACATAATAGGAAAAGCAAAGTTGGATACTGAAGGGGTACTGTAGTAAATCAGATGAAATCTTAACAGATAAGATACCACTGTGAATCTGATTCAAATTTGCCTGATGGAAGTCTACCACTGAATTAAAAGCAATTTGGATGAGTGTGGGAAATCAGATACCTCTTTGGACACATACAAGCAAAAGAAGTCTTTAAGTAGTTGAAAGTAGAAAGGTGTAGCTAAAAAAAAAACTTGGTTAAATCTGACCAAAGTTAAATTTGAGTAGAGGATTTTAAATAATGATTAAACCAATTGTTGTCTTCAGTTTGTTAGTCTATATAAAGAATGGAAATGTTGTATTGTTGGTCAATAACTCTAGAATTCTGCCCTGTACATTTGTAAAATGACAGATGTCCCATGCCATATAAAGATGTTGCAAGGTATAACTCTGCCCTGAGTGACACATTTTAAAACCATAGTTTAAAACAGGAGTAAGATCTGAGTCAAAAAGCTCAGTCTAGGGTACCTAGGCTGTCAAATTTCTTAACAGTACTAGAGATCTGTAGAACAGAACAAGAGAGTTCTGCCTTGAGAAAGCTCTTCACAAGGCTGCTTTACCATGTCACCGCCAAACATTCTAATTATATATGTGCTTATAACCTAGGTTGTTTTAATTTTGACATGAAATTACACATCACATCTGAGTAAGTTTTTATGAGCTTGTACTCACTGAAAGGTGAACCTTCCTTCTCTCCCTTTGTTCCCCAGATTGTCTTCTTTCCTCCTGCAGATCAGAGAAGCACCAGTTACAAGGCAGGGAGAAGCACACAGAAGTGGTGAAGGGGAAATAAAACTGTGTCTTTTCACAATGATGAACTATTGCAATGAAATTGCAATGTGTAACTTCATACAAAGCCCTCACAGAAAGATGATAAACCAAACTATAATATCATGCATATGGCCTGGGCTGTGGCATGTAACATGGTAATGAATGATATTGTTAACAACTGGCCAAGCCATTAGTCAGTTATTCCTTGGTTTCTATTGGGATGTTTATGGGAAACAACTTAGAAAACTCAAGGCCCAAACAGATATCTGAGAGTATGTGGACAAGTGACTAGAGAATTTTATAGTGCTTTTGGAAGTTAAATCATCTAGATGACAATAAAAAAAAACATTATATAAAAATTTTAGTCCAGACTTTACCCTCTGAAATCAAAGACTAAAAACTGAGACCAGGACATATGCTTATTTAGTTTTCTTCATACAGAGTCCAGTACTCTACTGCACTGCAAATAAATTATTGACTGTGGGACATATGGTAAGGAGGATATACTAGGAATATCCTCATGGAATGTTGCAGCTTGTTTTGGGGTCTTTTGATACATCTGCTTTACAAAATTAGAAGTCATTATCATTAGTACTAAGTTGATTAATAATAAGCTAATGCAGGATATTATTGCCAGCTGGCTGAACATGAACTGGTATGTGCCCAGGTGGCCAAGAAGACCAACAGAATCCTGGCCTGTATCAGGGATAGTGTGGCCAGCAGGAAATGTGGCCAGGGCAGTGATTGTTCCCCCTGTACCTGGTACTGGTGAGGCTGCACCTCAAATCTTGTGCCCAGTTTTGAGCACCTCAGTACAAGATAGACACTGAGGTGCTGGAGTGTGTCCAGAGAAGGGCAATGAAGCTGGTGAAGAGTGTGGAGCACAAGTCTGAAGAGAAGCAGTTGAGGGAGCTGGGGGTGTTGAGCCTGGAGAAAAGGCTAAGAGAGGGACCCTATCATTCTCTACAACTGTCTGGAAGGAGGGTATAGCAAGTGGGGATCGACCTCATCTCCCAAGCAACAGGTGATAGAACAAGAGGAAATGGCCTCCAATTGCACCAGGGGAGGTTAAGATTGGATACTTCAAAAAATTTCTTCACAGAAATGTTGGGCAGGTATTGAAATGGTTTTCCAAAAAAGTGATGGAATCACTGTCCCTGTAAGCATTCAAAAAAACATGAATGTGGTGCTCAGGACATGGTTTAGTGTAGAAGTGACAGTGATAGGTTAATGGTCAAACTTAATTATCTGAGAGGTATTTTCTAACCTTAGTGTTTCTAGGATTCTATGATTCTGACATTATCACATAATGTCCCTTTGGGGAAGTGTTGGAGGTGATAAGCTTGGTGCATGGAATCACATTTATGTAATCATATTTATGTAATAGATTGCTTTAAGACAGTCTTATTGATATCAGTGTAATAGAGAGTCATATAAATATGCAATTAGAGAACAGCATTATCCAAACTTGGCAAAGAGAATAAATATTATAAAATAATTCTACACACTTTATCAACAGGCGATCTCCTCAATATAAGAATCAGGCTATATTGCTCCAATCTGACTAGTAGCAGAAAAATCAAAATTCCATGTGAAATCCCTACTAGATCAATTTAATGCCTGAGAAAAAGATCACATTCAAGTCATTTACCAGGGTTTTTTTTGAAACACATTTAAGTTTGTGGAATTTTTTATAATTGAGAAAAAATCCCTTAAAAGCTATATTTAAGGCTCGGTTGTATTTTCAGAGTATGCTATGCTAAATGTATGAGAAAAAGCCTATTAATAGACTTTTTAGAAGACTTAAGGTTGGATTTTGCTGTAATTTACAATGTAACTATGTGAATTATGCATAACTATTAACATCTGGAAGAAATTATCCTATAAAGCCTAAAATCTTGTTTCTCTTCTTTCTTCAGCTATTATTGTGTACAGATTGCCCTGGACCTGGAAGTGCAGTAAACTCCTAATGAAGTTCATACATGCTGGATTAAACACCATAGCTATGATTCTTGCAATTGTTTCTATGGTAGCTGTGTTTGAATTCCACAATGCCAAGAATATTCCTAACATGTACAGTCTGCACAGCTGGATTGGGCTGACTGCTGTTATATTTTATTCTCTACAGGTCAGAATCTAACTGTATTTATAAACAGGTTGTAAATTTGAAGAATGTTTTGAGTAATTCAGGCACAATAGGCTCTTGCTAGCACATTGTAACTACTGGGATAGCCATTTTACACTCTGATTAGGCAAATTACCATGTAAATGTACAAATACTGGATCATTGACTTCGAAGAAAAATGCATTTTTAAGCATATTTTGTTTATTTGCTGGCATAATGGCCATTAACTTTACAATACAGTTACACAGTAGTGTGTTTCTAAGCCCTATTAACTCCTGAACTTACAGCAAGTTACTTGGTTTATTGGCAGCATATTTAGATATAGGTAGAGCATTTATTAAGGAAGCCTCAGATGAAGTAACAAGGCTTTTTTGTTTGGTTGGTTGTTTTTTTTCCAGCTATCATAAATTTAAGTAGTCACTTTTTGGCCTTAAGACTTTGTTAATCAGCAGAGCAAGTGCATCAGGGAGCAGTAGAGACGTAAAGGATCTGACATCTGAATGAGCTACTACTGGCTAACCAGTTTTCCTGAATCAGCAGAACTTTGACAGATGTTCCTGGGCATGATTTAACTGCTCTTGGCAGAGAATTAGCATTATTGTAATGTAAAATGAGCTAACTTAGTGTGTTTGGCATTTGGCAAAGAACAGCAACCATGCCCTGAAATTTACAGAACACAGATAGAGATGCTTCTGCACATATATTCTGAACTCCCCTATGTGTTGTTACATAACGGAAATTTATTTTGTACTTTCAAATATTTTTTTCCCCAAAACACTAAAAAGAAAAAAGAGTTATCTATGATCAAGCACAGAAAAGCCTCAGCTAAGGGATTTGGGTTTTGGATTTTATCCTTCACTGCTCAGGCCAAGATAGACAGGAAACAGTGTTGAAATAGTTTTTTAACATTTAGAGAAAAATACAGCATATTGCAGCATTGTCAAGTATATTATCTATAGCTAAACAAATTAATAAGAATGAATATGAATGAATAAAAAAGAACAATGTTAATTTTAAGTTTGTCCTGATAATGCAGGTATTTCAAGGAAGCCTGTGCTGCCACTACACTGAGTATCAGTATTTTATCTAATGGTTAAATGAAGAATTGTGACTAAAATCTTAGTTCTACTTTTTGTTTTGCTACTATAAACATGATCAATGGCCCTTAATGCCTTACCTGTCACATGAAAAGATCCTTGGTGTTCCTTTCTCCAACCTGGGATGTAAGTCTCCAGTTAGAGACTGATGTTTATCAAGTGACAGAGCACCATAAAAAATAGTCATAAAGTTGTATCTTTGTTAACAGAGAAGACACTTGGCACTTACCAGAAGGGGCATGTCAGTCATACACTCACATAATACTCTGCCTACAATATTGTAACTATATTCTAATTAAGCCAAATGTAGGTTAATACAATATAGCACACTGTCATGAATTTAAGAATAGGCCAAAAATGTAAAATGAGACTGTCTCTTGGAAAACCATGTCTCTGGAAAGAAGTGCTCAAAAATGACATGAAGCTCTAAATGAGTTCACACAATGCTGTGACGACAGGAAAAAGATGGCATTAGTGAAACTAATATGAAATATTATGTATTTTTTTTTTAAATATAAAAGACTGATCAGAAAAATAAAAAGCAAGAAACCCAAAGAAATTCTGTAAAAGTAATTTGAGAGCTGGGAAAGCTATCTTCCAGTGCAAGACTTCAAAAACTGCAGCTATTTAGCAGATCTAAGATTAAGAGATGATTTGATAATGGTGTGCTAAAAAGCCTCCCAGGGAGAAAATATCAGGCTTTCTAATCCATTATGAAAAGATAAAACAAGGGCTAAGACTGAGTTAAAACAGAATGAAATACAAATTCATTCAGGGTGTCTAATTTAGCAGCAGGGAAGAGTAACAGTAGAACAAACTAAAGAAGGGATGCAACCTCAATGTGACTGGGCAAGCCTGTGGATGCAACCATGGGACATGATAGGCTATTTTCCACCATAAATTAGTGCTAGTAGGAGGACTAATGTCCCCTGAATAACTTGATGCTAGCCATACATGTCTTCACTCTGCAAATGCCATGTGATTGATATATTGAAAGACCACTCTCCTTCTAAAGATAGGCACTTAAATTTAACTGAAATTCTAACAAGATATTTAATCCACTCAAGTCAGAAGGTTAGACTGCCTTCTGATGTTCCTTTATGTGCAAATCTGCAACAGGAGCAGAGAGTAAGACTTGACAAGACTGTAAAAGTATGGGTCCTCACACCTTTATTATCTTAGTGAATTAATGACACTGAAAACCTGTGTTTCCAGTACTTAGTTTGGTTGGAGTTTTAGCACTATCAGTAAGTTTGGACACCGATATTAGGTAGAATGATTTATAAAATATTTAATGTCTATTTCCCAAGTGCTAATCCAGAATTTTGCTTTGGTTTTAATGGGAAACAAATTGGGAAACAGTCTTTCTGCTCCCATTTGCTCCAGTTCATCTCCGCGTAGCTCTCATGCCAATGCACGTTTATTCGGGTCTTACCATCTTTGCAACAGTGATTGCAACAGCTCTCATGGGAATCACAGAAAAGCTTATATTTGCATTGTAAGTATTTGTTTCCACTTGTTTATTAAGGTTATTCATTGCAAATATACATCCATTTGCCCTGAATAATAAGCATCCAGTATTGGGACACTGTTTTGTTTTGCTTGTATTAAAATGAACTACCTAGCAGGACACTGTTGTTTTTAGACCAGGATTGTCCTTAAAACAATCTTTTCTAACCTCTTCTTTCTTTTTCCCCTTTCAAAGGAAAAATCCTGCATACAGTACATCCCCACCAGAAGCAACTTTAGTGAACTGTCTTGGTCTTCTGCTTGTCATTTTTGGTTCACTTATTTTGTGGATGGCAAGCAGGCCCCACTGGAAGCGGCCCCCAGCAGAGAATGCTAAAATTCTGAGGCCCATTGGAGCAACTTTTGAAGACACAGAAGTAGAATCCACAATGACAAACAGCAGTAATGCAGATAAGTCTGATCTGAGGAGCAATACTGAAGCAGCCAGGAAACAAAACATCAAATTTGATGAAGCAGGACAAAGATCAACTATGTAAAGAAAATACACAGAATAAAAGTACTATTATACCTCCAAATTCCCCCTGGTGAGGGTCCTTCTAGTTTAGTTATATTGATATGTAAGTAGGTGGGGGTTCATTTTTAGTATGGCTTGCTGAAAGATACTCAAGTTTTCTGCATATTGATTTAAATTCCTGTTAAGTCCCAAACTTATTTTATTGACTAGTCCATGCCTTGTCTACAAAAACAAGAGCATGAATGACATCACATAACTGGAAACTGTTTTCCATATCACTTCTTAATTTAATGCTTATATCTCTTATAGTCATGAAAAATTTAACATGATTCAGACTAAATTTTGCTCTTGAGTGATTTTGCAGGTTATGAATCAGCCATGAAGTATACCAGATGGAATAATTCAGTTTGTCACACATAAATTTTCTGGTAATGTTCTTTTAAGCATCATAAACTTGTTTTTAAACTTTTTTAAAGCTCTAATTTCTCTAGCTGATTAACCCCCTCATCAGCTGCTATTTTCTTTGGGATTTGAGGTCATTCCGCACTTTACAAAGTTGCTTCATAAGAATGTTTATTCTAAAAATTTTAATTAAAAAAAAGAATTTAAAAGTTTGCTTGATATGTTCATAAAATGTTATGTTTCCTTTAGAAACTTCTGGGGGTTTTTGGTCTTGTTTTTTTAAAATCAGAATGTATCTGTTGACCTTTTAACAAATTCTACCAAATATATTGTATACAGACAATATTTGGCTTTGAATTACGTGCAATTATTACTGAAATCTAAGAAAATTTTAAGACACCCAAATGCAGAATTTATCTTATTTGAAAAGCTATAGAAACACACTTAGAAAAGTGTATCACTTAAACTAAGTCTTCCTTTTATCCCAGAAGGCAGCATTTTAGTGTCTTTATTTGATTGCACAGTTCTGTTGATTTATGATACTAGACTAGAAATTAGGAGGTTAGAAACCATAAAAATCTGCTATCAGACTCACAGAAAAAAAATTAGCTTCAAGTCGGAAATGCTTTCTCCAAAAGACACAGGTGAGCTTTTCTGTTTTAATAAAATGCTACCTGTTAACTGAAAGCCAATTTGGGTATCTCCACACTGACAACAAAAGCATTGTTATCATGGGCTTGAAGACATGCTTTAGTCTATAAGCAATCTATACAAACTCTATGACTTTTTCATTTGAAATTACAGTTCTAATAATGCAATTTTCTTTAAATAATAAAGAGTCCCTACTAGCACTTTACTATTATAGCTCTTTCTTGTAATTGAAGTATTAATGTATCATGCTCATTCATTAATTTCACAGATACAAACAATATTTATACTTTTACTACTATGTAAGAATAATTATAGTAGATTATTTGGACTGCTCATGTCCAAAATGATAAGCCATTCTATTATCTCTTATAAAAGCTGCAGAGCCCACTAGAAATACAAATTTACCGCTGTTCATGTTGGAATATAGACAGTTTCAGACAGCATATAATTTCCTATTTTTTAAATACTACATAAATTTTTATCTACTTCAGCTTTTAAAAACATTTATATATTACCCTTCAACAAATGTGCCATTTTTGTAGTTCACTGTGTGTAAGAACAAACTATTTTGGACATGAGTTATTTTGGGTTGTCTCTGACAAGAAGCATCTCAGTTCCTGTTATTTGATTTGTTATAATATTTTATTATTTGGTGAATGCAGTACAGAAAGCTAGCATAATAAAATATTTTTAAAACTTCTGTACAATTTGGTACTCAAGGACTACATCCCAGAGCTCCATGTTTTCACTCATAGGTTTGTGGATGACTGGGTCCAACCTCACATTGGTGTATTTTTCCACTGTAGAAAATACCTGCTTTTAATGTACAATTCAGGTATGTCAGAAGGAACACTAACCTAAACTACTAAACTACTGCGTGAGCACTCCTCCAGTCCCACTGTGTGCAATGAATCAAACAGTGAAGCATGACAGGGGAAGTGAATAAATGAGTTCACTTGCAGTAATTTACTATGCAGCTTTCTATACTGCACTCACACAGGCAACAGCATTTTAAATTGTTATGTATTGGCCTGTTACTGTGTCTCATCCACCTGTGAAAATGAGCTTGCTCAATCCTTGCATAGTACTAGGTCACATAATAAAAGCATATGTTTGTATGGAAGGCAGTCAGCTGCCTAGGGATTGTTCTGGAAGAAACTACATTGTACATTGTACTAGAAAAAACACAAAATCTATTACTTCTTTTGTTACAGCACTGAGTTGAATGTATTGAAATAAACAACTTTTAGGTGGTTGGTTCTATATGCTGTTAAAGTTAAGCTATAATAACCAGTATGCATTCTGGTTTCCACTGTATTCCATGTACTGTTCAAGGGGAATGCTACTTGAAATAAGAGTGGTGGCATTTCTTTATTTCTCTGTTCTCATGAAGACTAAGGTACAAGTAGCACCAAGGTTGTGGGTTCAAACCCCATATGGCACTTTTGCTTAAGGGTTGGACTCAATGATCCTTCTGGGTCCCTTCCAATTCTAACCATTCAGTGATTCTGAGATATAAAACTAACTGAAAATCAAGGATTAGCAACCTTTTGAGGGCAGCCTCCCAAAGCATAAATTTGCTTTTCAACTTAGAGGTCAAATGTGATAGGAGAAACTCAGCAGAAGCTGTAGGATTACATTTGGGGAATTTATAGTCAGTGATATCTCATGTGTATGAACTGTGGAATTCTGGCTGCTGATCTTTGGAAGGTCCCCACAAGATGCAGTAGCTGTGAGCTCCTAAACCGTGATCAACCTTGGTGTGTGCAATTTAAATCTGACAAAACATACTATAGACTTTTGGCTTAATTCTAAACAGATTAAAAAGGCCTCTAAGTATGCTTGCAAAAAAATTAGGTTAGTTCAATGCTAAGTAAAAATATTTAGGTGTTTGGAGAGTAATAGTCTTAAACCTGCTTCTCAAAGTGGCCTTCCACTAATTTTCCTTTCATGCAAATTTTCTTAGCTGTATTTAGGAGTAACATAAATACAGTACCAACATAGGAAACAAAAAAATTGTATTTTCAAAGATACAAATGGAAGGTAGAACTCTAGCTTTTTCATTGGGAATTTTCTGCATGTTTGGAAATCATCTACATGGTTGTTTTTACAGGAACATGGTTGTAGAGCTCACATTCCAGGTTTGGATTCCTATAAAAAAACAGGAAGTTAAAAAACCTAACATTGAAAGGGCTATCTTTTTAAGATACTGGAAGAAGAAATACTATCTTTACATGCTGTCATGCAGTACTATGCATAGAAGCAGAAGAGTGTTTTTTTCCAACATTAATGAAACTGAGAAATGATGGTGCAAATTAGATTCTGAAATTGAATGTAATTACATGTGTACTTATTATTACATGTAACCAAGAATATGGCATATGATAATGTAAATATCGATTACTTGTTTACATGGATATTTTATTGAGTGACTTAAGAGATATTGCCAAATATTTTCTATTTCAGAAGTCTCTTTTGCTTTGATTTCAGAAAATTCCTTCCTCTGTTTTTAAGTTGACAAGAACTTAAAAAAATATTTTATTATCCAAGGTACTTACTTGTAGATGAGAGCAAATATTTAATTACTATGTCTTTTTCCCTTATTCTTTTTTTATATATTAATAAAAATGATTTTTTGAGCTTGTGATACAACTGAGTACAGATTTTCATTCTGGTACTAAAATATAACTTTCTAAATTTGGATAAAGATCCAATTATTCCTAAATTACTTTTTGAAAACAGGAGGACAGTTGTACAAAGTTTCTTAAATATGTCTTGACTTCAACTATGTATTATTTATGATGATCTTTATAATGAAATTTGTGCAGTTTGTAGTTGTAGTGGTTTAGGTTCACTGATTTGAATTTCCTGGCCAATGCACCAAATAATGTGGGTGGTTTTTCCCTCCTTACTAAATATCAATTAACGTAAAACCAGCACAGTAGTCTTAGGAACATAATCAGTATATAACGGAAAGTGAAATAATTCACCATATAAACAATTCATGTCTCACCTTCTAATCTGGATTTTCTCAACATTACCTCTTCCCTTCTCTCAGCTGAATTGCCTGGAATGGTCATCATCCGTTTTGTTGCCCTGGACTTGAATTTCTACCTGACTAATAGTTCACCCCTCATTACTGCCCACTAGTCTTGCAGAGATCACAAGTGGGGCTTGAGTTTACAGCTGAGTCCATGGCCACGTATACTGATTACTTATTGGCTCTCAAATTCCATATTTTGCTGGTCACCAAGTCATAGAATAGTTACAAATACAGCTGTCAGAAAATGGATAAAAACTTTGAAAATCTTTGCAATTTTTAGTTCAATTTTCACAAGCATTTAATTAAAAAAAAAAAAACAACACCAAAAAAACCCCACAGAGTAATACTCAAATTCTGCAGGATATAATTAAGTATTAGTGTGATAATAGTGTGATGGTCAAATATTCTTGTGACAGATGATCCTGCTCATAAGTGTATACAAGCAGGAATCCACTAGGTGGCAAGCACTACCAAAATGGCATTTGGCAGATGCTAGATCAGCCTTACTTTTAGGTGATACAATGAGCCGTCTGCCTCAAAACAAAATCAGGTTAGTAGTCATAAAACACATAGCCATGTCAGAACTTATATATTCACTTCTCTTTTCTTTTAAAGGACCTGCTCTGCCAGCAATCTTCTTGCATGTTCAGCCTGTACTCAGAATTGGGTAGATCAGTTTACATGAAGTATTTGCTGTAGACAGACAGTAGCTTCCCTATTTATAGCTGTTTCTTCTCTTCATATTGTTTTATGGAAATACTTTGCTTAAAAAGCCTTAAAATTACATTTTAGTTATAATCTACAAATAAGGGATGAAGTGCATGGAGTGAACAAAGATGTTTGCCAGACAGTTACTCAACAACAATAAAACACCTTTTTTTTCTGCATTTCCAATTATCCTGAATGATACCATCATTTTGCAGGTCTCCATACCTAACAAAGGTAGCAGCACAAAACATCCATTTCCACATAGAAAAGTATACATCTTTTAAAATCTTCAGCAATGTGAAATCAGAGATAAATCTTGTCCTCACCTTACTGCATATTGTAAGCAGAAGTTGCAAGAGCCTAGCGAAACACAACTGCTGATCACAGAAACACAACAGATCTCAAAATGCTGCAGTAGAAGTTTTCCTAATGCTTTGGTCTGTACTGACAATTATGCAGCTGGTGAATGGAAAAAAAAGTCTGCAGCTTTTGAAAAGAAGGCACTGTTATACATGGATTTGGCCGAACTCTTCCCTGCTACCAAACAGTGGAAACCTGATGATGACACTGCAAAAGCCTGAGAATTTGCCTGTCCATGAAACTGCAGCTATATAACCATAAGCATTATTTGAGTGAACAAGTTTGCATATAGACCTAAGCAGTGCTCTCCTCTCCTCAAAGAAATTAAAGAAAATTCACAGGCAATACAGGCAGTCAGCACTTCCCACATTCAACAGCTATTCAAATCCCCTCCACAGAGTTACTTCATTTGGGAAAAAAAGTTATCTTTAAGTAAGAATTGCTTCCAGAGTTTTCAACTGACTTCAGGGACAGGAGAGTTCCCTGTTACTCCAGTCTCTGACTGCACTTGTACTCCATTTGCAGCTGGTTTTAATAAAAAGTCAAATATTCTGGCACAGAATGGCATGGAGTGCTTTTTTGATTTCTTCCTTTGTAAGCCTATGTCAGCCATCATGGAGTCTTGTGTACTCTGAACATCTTTTTTAACTTTCAATTGTAATTCAGGTACTAACTATAGGAACCTCTATCAAGGAATCTACACATCCTTTGAGCTCATCACAGCAATTCCTCAGTCTTCTTCTTAAGTGAAGAGGTGATTACAGTCCTGTGAGAGTTCAGATATTTTCCACATTTTCCTACAAATAGTATTATTTTGCACTTACTAACATTATGCTCTCCAAGCCACTGAGTTACATGTACTCCATTCACTAATTAACATTTCCTTCTTATTCCAGACTCCTTTCTCCAGTTCTTCTGAGGACATTTTACTGCTATCTTTGTATTCCCTGAATCGCTGCTCTAGCAACAAAATATTTATATTTCTCAGTATGTTTTCTCTGGTTTAAAACTTAATCAATCTCTCATCCTGGGGAAGGTAACTCAGTTTAATCTGAGCAAGACAGTTCTTCCTAATGCCTTAAAGAACTAATTCACTCTGAAGTAAGTTCTTGTGGAATGTAATAACTAAGATACAAACACATTTTGTACATCAGTCTAATAAGTACAAATTCAAATTATATCACAAACCCTACTTTTAGTTTTATTACATTGTCACCATCTTTATGATAGTTATTTGTATTATATTTAGTCTTCCTTTGCCTATCTCTAAACATTTAAAACATCCCTAAACAAATAGTAACAATAATAATAAATACCTGGGAGTTTTGATCTAACATTTGAATTTTCAATTAAAAATATTTTTGTGGCTTTAGAGCCAGTCTTTAGGTAAAATACATAAAATTAATTCCACCAGCTACATACAACAATTTTTGGTTACCTTGTAATTTCAGGTCTGGCTCATTTTGAGAAAAGACAGCTTGTGTAGACTCTATGCAAAACACTAGGAAAAGCAGAAACTTCAATTTATTCTTGTTATAGATTTGTTTATTCAGAAAGAAGCTTTGAAATAGAAGGCTTTGAAAGGCTGTCTGAATAATGAGTTGTTATTCTTTGAAGGCATATTATCTTTAAAAATACAAGAAAACCTGAGGGTTTCTAATGAGTAGAACCCTTTATTTTTGAAAGAAAATAAATGGAAGTATTTGAAAAGATTTTTTTTGTAGGTTTTTTTTTTTTTCCTCCTGGAGCTGCCTGTTGCTCTTATTTGGAAGCTTCCTGCTGATTTTACTTTTTATTCTGCTGTGAGACTGATGCCAAGATTTACATGATTGCTGTGGATAGGAACTGGATTTAGCATAAGGAAGATAACTGCTTTTCCCCTAGGGAGAGGCAGAAAAGGGAAAGACAGACTGAGGCACACAGACAATAATAACTGAAACTATATTCTTGATCAATTATTTTATTCATCCTCTATTTTAGATTATGCTCCAACTAATAAATGGCAAAGCTACTAGTCCCAAGCCAGAAACACAGATAAGGAAGGAAACTATTTGTGGTTTCATGCAAATGTCCAACTATAATGGAAGCAATGTACTGTTTTTATATAGAACTGACATAGTGCCCCTTGTAACATAAGTGTAATTAACTAAGACT